GCAGTCTTCCACACCACCGGAGATGTGTGCCTGTAAGCCTGGCCTTTTCAGGAGTTGCCCTTGGGTCAGAGTAGTTTATTGTTCAGCCAGTGTTTGATTGGGAGTTCTGCTTAAGTCCTTTGAACTAATGAGACTTTTGCCCTTTGCTGATGGATTTGTATGTGGCTTTGGGAATGCTTTCAAATCTGCTCCACATCCCATTCTGATTGCTCGTGAGTGGGTGTAGCCTAGTCCATGTGCACAGCTTTCTGGCCCCCCCGAGATGCGTGTGATCCCAGGAGGATGCTTCTTGATTCTCTCTTTGCCCGGTTCTCCCTGTTAAACTTTGGGCCGGTCTGCCGTTTTGCTTGTTGCTATTAGTATCATGGAGTGGTCCCTTAATTGCTTGCGACTGAGATCTCTGTTGTTTTTGACAATGCCCTTAGGCACACATTTCTCCCTGCTGTTCCAGGTACAGTCGTCTCAGAGCTTCTGAGCTCCCAGTCCTTATAGCCTTGCTTCTCCCCCTGGGGGCAGGACAGCAGCCCACTTCTGCGTGTCACCTCTGCTCTAAGGGTGTTGCTGAGGGGGTGGATTGGTAGGCCTGGCCTTCTCAACTTGCTCTTCCTAGTGTGGAACCTCTGCTCTTTGAGCAGGTGGGGGCAGGGACCCTCAAGGGCAGTCGGAGCCCCAGTATTCTTGGCCTGTCATCCCTTGGGTAGAGCCCTAGACCAGCAGCTGTGGGGAGAGGGAGCCCTTCTTGACTGCATTTTCTTGGAGGAGATACTCAGGGTAGAGCTGCTCTCGCATGAAGCTGGGGGGTGAGGGTTGAGATGGAAGCAGCTTGTAGCTCAAATCCCACAGAATCCTCCTGCTCTTACACTAAACTTAGTAGATTTTCTTGAATAAATGTTTCTCTGTTGTATGCCTTTAGGAAAATTTTCAGATAGTTCTTCAAATTGTGAGTTTTCTTTTTTCCTAATACGATTTCTTCCAGTTAAATGGTTATTTTGCTGGGAAAAGGGTCCTCTGAGGTCCTCAGACCACCATTCCAAAAGTCCTGCCAGTTCATTTATTTTATCTGGGCATACGCACGCATGGGTCAAAGGAGCCCTGGTGGTGCAAGTTAAACGCCTGCCTACTAACGAAAAGGCAGGTGGTTCCAACCCACCAGGAGAAAGACCTGGTGATCTGCTCCCATCAAGACTACAGCCTAGAAAACCCTCGGGGGCACTTCCATTCTGTCATAGGGGTCACTGTGAGTTGAAGTTAACTCAGTGGCATCTACCACCGCCATGCATGGTTCAGGGGTCAGCCAGAGATTATTTATAGAGTGTTGATGCAAATAATCGGGGGCTTTCTTTTCCATGATTTCTCCCCTCATTTTCCAGAGGCTCTATTTGCCCCAAACTCTGTCCTTTGGTTCTTTAAGCCGATAAAGACTGCAAGTTTTCTATCAGAGAAAGTCTTAGCTGCCCCACTGGGTCCTGCCCTTGAGTAAGTAATAAAACTAAGAAACACCCAGTGCCTTTCTTTTCTCTCATGTATCAGCGTCCTTCCAGGATCTGCCTGCTTTGGAGTATACTTATTTTCACACTTTAAAAATATTTTGTCTGGAATGTATGGTTATTATTTGATGGAAGGTTGGTCCAATAGGAAGGAGCTACTTACTGGAAGTGGAGCTCCCTGACCATTAAGGCTGGGTACCAGTAAGTCTGGTGCATCTGTCCTATTAGTGAGGAAAAGGCAAGAGAGATTTGGAATGCCTTTACTTTTATGAAGTGGAGTGGCAAAACAACAAACAAACGATGGACGTTTTCTTTAAGCAACAGCTCAAGCCAGCTACAAATCCAGAAGGCCCGTCTCAGACATTATTAGACATTTCTAACTATTACTCAGATTCTAAGAACCCAATGTCACATATGCTCAGCATAGACAGGATTGTTGATCTCTACTGTTTTCATCTGTTGCATAGTAAATCATTTGTTACCGTTATCATCTTAGAAAACTAAAGACAAAAGGCCACTATGCTACATTCTAAAAAGAGAAACGTGGTGCCCTATCCCATAAATCAGCTCAGTGCTTTCCAGTTGTTTATTGTGCTCTCCAAGATTATTTTACAGATGACTGCCAAGCTGGATGCTCAGTGTATTATATTTACAGCAGTGATTCTGTCTCTTCAGAAACACTCAGGGCTTCCAGAATGCCCTAAGTCAGTAGGGTGTTGAGAATATAAAGATGAACAAGATGTCTCTGGCCTCAAATGGCTTGTGTCCTTCTCCAGTCCTTCACGTACTGAAGAGAAGGCAAGTCAGTGTTAGGTATTGGTATGGACTAGATTACATCCCCAAATACATACTGGAGTCCTAATCTCTACACCTGTAGATGTAATCTCATTTGGAAAAAGAGTTTTCTTTGTTAATGAGGCCATATTAGTGTACAGCATGCCTTAAACCTAAAGACTTTTGACATAAAAAGAGCAGGTTAGGCACAGAGAGATGCAAGCACAGCGGAGAACACAGATGCCCCATGGAGCTCGTCAGGGAAGGCCAGGGCTACAGAAACTCGAGATCTGTCCCCAGAATAACAGCCTGCCCCGAGAGCCAGTGTCTGACTTTGGACTTCTAGCCCCTAAACTGTAAGACAATAAATTTCTGTGTGTTAAAGCCACCCACTGGTGGTATTTCTGCTATAGCAGCACTAAGAAACCACGACAGGTATGGACCCGTGAAAATAGGCACGAGCCGAGCTCTGTCAAAAGTGCCCTGAAAACTGGTTTCACTGTTGCCTTGTGTTCTGTTCGTGTTCTGGAGCTCATGTTACTCCATCAAAGCCAGAGCATGAGATTCCAAGGGAAAGAAAGTCTGGGGAAGAGGAAAACAAAGAGAAGGTAAGCAAGGAAGAGAGAGATGGTGCTGACGGAAGTTTTTCTTTTTTTTCTCTTTAATGAAAGATGTGATGCAATTGAACGCTGGCACAGGTCATCACAACTTACGTTTCATACAATGACTGGACAGTGTGGTAAAGTGCTGTTTATACTCAGACCCTTAATGTTTAATCATTAAAGTCACACACCGTACACAACAGAAGATTTTGTACTGAATAACTTTATTGTAAATCACGTAATGTCGCTTTAGGCTTTCTATGACAGGAAGTTACACAGCTGTAAATAACTAACTCTTCATGACCTTATTCAGTTCGGAAAATTTTCAAGTTTGTGACATATGTTCATTGCACTTAAAAATTAAATATGCAGTGACAGAAAGATAGATTTATAATGACATCATTCAAAGTTTTCCTTTTGGATTTGCCTGACTCCGTTACAAAAATTCAAAACCACCTTCCGCCCCCAGGGTTTACATAAGTTTTCTCCTTCCCCGGGACTGAAGCAGTACAAGGGATTAAAGGGCTTAAACAAACGTGAACGTCACTGAGAAGCACAAGAGGAAAGTCTTGACGTGGCTGATGAAAACCAGAACACAATAGCGCCTGGCTGAGAAAGAAAATATATAAATCTGTATATACTGCGCGCAGGAGCTTCTCTGTCTTGCCTTCAGATATCTTTTCCACAGTCAGGGCAAAGGATGTCATCCCTTTCTGTGAGGAAGCCTCGACCCACCAACGAAAGGGAACACTTCTTACAGTTGAAGCAATCGTTATGCCACTGCCGCTCTTCAAAGGAGATGTACTTCGTGCCTCCAATGCCTGTGAGGAGAGAGAGAACAACATGGGATGAAATCAGAGAATACTAAGGAGTTACAATCAGGCTGTTGTTACGTTGTTGCTGTTAGGTGCCATCAAGTCGATTTCAACTCCTAGCGACCCCAAGGTTTTCCAGGCTATAATCTTCACAGCAGCAGATAACCAGGTCTTTCTCCCACTGGAGCCACTGGGTGGCTTCCAGCCGCCAACCTTTCTGTTAGCAGCCAAGTGCTTAACCACTGCGCCACCAGGGCGCCTTAGAATCAATGGCCACTGGGAGTGAAAAAAGGAATTGGTTTGATCCATTTCAAAGTTTCAATCGTGCAATATGGACATCCGACCAACTGAAGGTAACAGAGTTGGGAATGGCACGTGATGGAACTTCTTCTGTGCTGTGAAATAATGCACTTTTCTCTCCCCACCTTCACTGATTTGTGTAGCAATTTAAAGGAGCTGCCATCTGTTCTCCACACGAAATTTCTTGGCGTATTTAATAGTTTAGTCCAGTGCCTGGTCTGTCCAGTTAGCCGATCTGGGGTCTCTCACTTTGGAGGACCCAAAAGTACCTAGAACATGCCCTCTGCCCTCACAGTCTCGGGGATTCTGTGGACCGCCTGGGAGAACACAGCACCACTGCTCAGCCTGAAAATGCCAGTTTTCATTCTGCTTATACAGGTGCAGATCTGGAGATAATCCCTCCCAAAGCAGAAATAATAAACCTATAGAATACAGGCCAAATGCTTTTAAGTGATCAGGTGAACAAGAGGTGAAGGGGTTACCTGCTGAAGTATACCCAATCCAACAAGGAGAAAAGCAGTTACCTGTTCAGAACCTTCGCTAGGCCTAAAGATAAACAAATTCCCATGCTAAAAGATGATACCTTGTTATCTTCAAAGTGCTCTGTGCATTGAAGTGGGAACTCCACGTTGAGTTCCAGCTCACTACTTACCGCTGATGGGGTTGGTACAGCCAGCACACTTCTTGGCGTATAAATCACAGAAGCAATTCAGGCAGTAGGCGAACTCCTCTCGAGACGTGAAACGCTGCCCAGACAACTGCTTCTTGCAGGCGGTGCACACAAAGCATTCCTTGTGCCAAGGCTGCTCCCGATAAGTGACTCCCCCGGTGGTGATGGGCTGGCCCGGAGGAAACACGGGGTACGGGGTCAGGTTAGAGTGGCCTCGCTTTTAGTAAATGTCCTCAGTCTGTTATTGCCACTGATTCAGACTCCTCAGGTTGTGTTAAAAGCCACTGCGGGACTGCTTTACAAACTCTGCAGTCATCCCCTTACTGCCTCCCTTCCCATGTTGTCGTGAAGTGCCACGGAGTCAGTTCTGACTCACAGCGACCCCGCGCACAACGGAACAAAACCCTGCCCGGTCCCGCGCCATCCTCATAATCCTTGCTATGTTTGAGCCCATGGTTGCAGCCACTGTGTCAGTCCACCTTGTTGAGGGTCTTCCTCTTTTTTGCTGACCCTCTACTAAGCATGATGTCCCTCTGCAGGGACAGGTCCCTCCCTTTCATGTACTTTCATGACACTGCTCTAGACCCTGGTGCTTCCCCTTGTGAAACCGGTACTAGAATGTCTGCTCTCGGCCACCTCATTCTCTCCCCACATCGGGTTTAGCGGTTCGTTTATTGGTTTTTCCAGGAGAGCGGCGTAACAAAGAGCTTGGGGACAGTGAGTTCTCCTCCTTTCTAACATTCACTCATACACATGAGGAAATATTTGGGAATTTCTAAAAGAAGGCAGGGCTAAAGGATTTTTATCTCAGAGCACAACAGTGCTCTTGTCTTTGAAAGGAGGACTGTAACAGGCTCAACAGATGAAATGCACAGAAGTATACTGGAATTATGAAATGCAAAGTAAGACAGGCATAATTTTCATGCCATCCAAGTATTACAGGTGGGATTTCTTGGGGCAAGGAAAAACTGCCAGGCAGGGCTCGTGGAGACAAACTGGCTAGACGGGCAAGGTCCGAGGGAGAAAGATACCTTTTTGCACTGCACACACTGCATGGCATATTGTTTCTCATAGCAGGGAACACAGAAGTTCTGATTGTCTTTGGGGATGAAACTCTTGGTTCCAATTGGCTGCTGGCAGCGATGGCAGATGAAGCAGGTCTCATGCCAGCTGCTCCCCTTGTACTCCATCTTGCGGGTACCTGTCGCCGGAGTCAAGAACAAAATAGAGTTGTTAAAACGACTGGCTTGGAGGCCAGGCGATCCGCTTTCAGAGCCTGCCACCATCTAGCTTTGGAGCCATAGCAAGTCACTTAGGCTCTCAAAGGCTCTCCTCTACATGAAGATAATTTCTATTTTATAGAGGGCAGGGATTTTGTCTTCTGGCTCATTGCTCTACACCCCCAACTCCTAGAATAATATCTATACATAGTAGGTACTCAGTATTTATTTGTTGAATAGGGTGGTTATAAATATTAAATGAAAAAATTGTGTGTGTGTGTGTCTTTCTCTTTCCTAGCATTTCAAAATATAAAGAGAAATCTGGAATATTTCAGACTAGCCCTTTATGGACTGTGAATTTTGGAGCACAGGGACTACACTGCCCTGTTCCTCACAGTGACCTGTTCACTAACATCCCTCTGGCTCTCTATGGAATAGAGATGGGTGTGCAAATGAACACAGTGTTTCAAGCCCGTTTTGGTGACAGGCTGTGCATCACTCAGTTTATGCAACTGGCTGTGTAAACCAAGCAGTGGTGTATCTTAGTGGTTTTGCATGATGTCTTAAGTGCTATCGTTAAAATTCCCAGGTATTATCTCTACCATCTGTGATGAGCTGGATTGTGTCCCCGCAAAATGTGTGCCAACCTGGCTAGGCCGTGATTCCCAGTATTGTGTGATTGTCCACCATTTTGTCACCTGATGTGATTTTCCTATGTATTGTCAATCCTACCTCTATGATGTTAATGAGGCAGGATTTGAGGCAGTTATGTTAATGAGGCAAGACTCAATCTACAAGATTAGGTTATATCTTGGTCGATCTCTTGAGATACAAAGGAGAGAAGTGAGCAGAGAGACCTCATACCACCAAGAAAGAAACACTGGGATCATAGCGTGTCCTTTGGACCCGGGGTCCCTGTGCTGAGAAGCTCCTAGACCAGGGGAAGACCGATGACAAGGACCTTCCCCCAGAGCCCACAAAGAGAGAAAACCTTCCCCTGGAGCTGGTACCCTAAATTTGGACTTCTAGCCTTCTAAACTGTGAGGGAATAAAATTCTCTTTGTTAAAGCCATCCACTTGTGGTATTTCTGTTATAGCAGCTCTAGATAACTAAGACAACATCCCATTTAGTAATTTTGCGATATTTCTTTTTTGAATAGCTGTTTATCATTCGATGTGATTACATCATTCCTCCAACTAGATTAGGAAGGCTTAGAACACTGAAACCCTCACCCAAGCTTGGTTCACAGCAAATGCTTAATATTTGTTGATTGATGTTTTTCTCATACTTTACCAAAGAAAAAAAGTGTATACTTATAGAAAAAGATGATTCAAGACAGATATATGAGAGTACCCTTTGTATACAGAAGTAAAGAAGGGTTTAGGGAAACGAGTATAAATGGATGAGTATCTTAGTTATCTATGGCTGCTATAACAGAAATACCACAAATGGATGGTTTTAACAAAGAGAAATTTATTCTCTCACAGTCTAGGAGGCTAGAGGTCCAAATTCAGACTGCCAGCTCCAGGGGAAGACTTTCTCTCTCTGTCAGCTCTGGGGGAGGTCCTTGTCATCCATCTTCCCCTGCTCTAGAACTTCTCAGTGCAGGGACCCCAGGTCCAAAGGACATGAGTATGTCTGGCTCTTCTTGCTTGGTGGTATGAGGTCCCCCTGTCTCTGTGCTGGTTTCTCTCTTTTATATCTCAAAAGAGATTGACTCAAGACACAATCTAATCTTGTCGATTAACTCCTGCCTCATTAACATAACTGCCTCAAATCCTGCCTGATTAACATCACAGAGGTAGGATTTACAACATACAGGAAAATCACATCAGGTGACAAAACGTTAGAAAATCACACAATCCTGGGAATCACGACCTAGCAAAGTTGACACACATTTTGGGCAGGATACAACTCAATCCATAACAATGGGGAAATAGAAAAGTGTTCCAAACAAGGTCGCTCAGAGGCCAGCACACTAAGGCCCACAGGCCATTCATTCACGTACTCCCTCTGTGTATGGCTGCTTTCTCTCTGCAAAGGCAGAGTTAAGCGGTTGTAACAGGTTGTATGGCCCACAAAGCCATAAGTTTACCAACTGTGGGCTCACTTAAAAGACAGGGAGTGGAGAAAGATGGGCACATACATCAGACTTCAAATGTGGGGTCAGGAAACAAGGGAGAGTCGGGCAGAAAGCAGGGTTGCCTGCTCTGAAACATGGAAGCATGCTGAGACGATACAGACAGCATAAGGCAGGAGTCTATAAACGTTTTTAGCTGTAAGTCCAAACAACAAGGCCAAGGGTTCTATTTTAACTGATTTGAAGGTTGGTGAAGAGATAACTACATCTCAAGTAATTAGGACACGTGCTGAGAAATATCTTATTAGCTGTTATTTTTGGAGCCCGTTCCTTGCTTCCTGATACTTCCAAGACCAGATAAACAGGCATCGCCTTCCATAGGTTATATAAAATATGCAAGGTATGTATGTAGGTGGCGTTAGGAGTTGGGGCATGTGAGGGAATTCCAAGTGGTGGCACACAGTGATCTTCAAAGCTAGGGTAGGAAATCTGTGGAGCCCAATTACGGAGTGATGAATTCTGAAATGTAGAAAATTACATTAAGCAATTGAATTTCAGTTAATGGTGGAAGGATGTTGATGTAAATTTTAGAATTATTTTCTTTGGTCTCCAAGGGTTTATGTTCTCATGCCTAACTCTGACACTTGCTCTTTTAATCTCTCACCTTCACGCTGATCAAAAAACCCAGAAAGCAAAGGCTTCTGTCAAGAAATATAGGGCAATTATGACTCTCAGAAAGACCGCAAACAAGATCATGTAAGTGCATCCTTGGTGTGTTCTGAGATAACAGTCGGACATCAATACCAGTGCTTGGGGAACTGCAATGATGCAGGGAAATTGCCGCCGCCCTTCCTGCGTGCTCAAGAGAGGTGGCAGCGGCACTGCCTGAGGCCCCATCAAAACAGGCGCCCTTTACATGCGGTTGCCATGTTGTTGCTGCTGTTAGTTTTCCACTGAGTAGATTCCAACTCATCGCAACCCCAAGTGTGCAGACAGAACCGCTTCAAAGGGTTTTCAAGGCTGTGACCTTTTGGAAGCAGACTGCCAGGCCTGTCTTCCGAGACACCTCTGTGTAGTTGCAAACTGCCAACCTTTTGGTTAGTAATCAAGTTCCTTGTGTTGTGTGC